GGGCTCCAGCTAAGGGAGGGGAGGGAGGCTCTGCATTTCCTGCACTGCCCCCAGGCTGAGTCCATTGCGAATGTGCGAATGTGCGCACAGGAGCAGCCAGTCTGCCCACCTCTCACCCCCTCCCCCACCCACACTGACTCGGAAATAAAACAGTGAACATCAATTTTCAGGGCTCTTAAAAATGACAGTTTTTAAAATACTATCACTGAAGTAATTTTTTGGAAACCTTCGTTGATAATTACTACATTACGCTGTTTAACGTCTTGATACCACCCAAAATCTTTCCTTCAGAAGACATTTGTTCTCTGCTTTTGTTTGCAGATTTGGCAGAATGGCACGTTCCTACTGCTGGAATGTTTTTATGGATTAAAATTAAAGGCATTTCTGATGTAAAACAACTGATTGGAGAAAAAGCCATTAAGAAAGAGGTAAAATTGGGAGGTGAGGGATGGGGAAGCCTGAAGAAAAGTTACGCTTTTTCTTAAAGTCATGTTTTACTTGAATGGAAATGGAAAGAGATGTTTTTTGCTGCCCATCACTGAACTCATAATGTTCTGATATTAGATGTGTTATCGCATTATTAAAATCGTAACAGGTTTTCGGGTTACATAATTATTCATCTGGTCTAACTTAACGGAAATGCCGTCATTAGCATAGTGGCCAAGAGCAGTCCCTGCTGCCCACCTCCTTGGGCTGGAATCCCAGCCCCCGGCCTGCCTGGTGTGCGGCTTTGGGCAAGTCACCCTCCTGGTGCTTCATCTGTGAAATAGAGACAGTGAGGACCCCTTTCTCATGGGGGTGCTGTGGTGATTAAATGGTGTAATATGTGCAGAGTACTTAGAAAATGCTCAGTGAGTATTAGCCAGTAGTGTTTAAAATGGAGGGATTTTTTTTCCTGATTATGAAAGTAAAGTATACTCATCGTAGGAAATTTGAAAAATGCATAAAGCACAACGAAAAATATTTTCAACCACCCAGATTTGTGACCGTTTGTGGTATAATTTCTTGAAGAGCTTGTATGTGTTCTAGTGCTATGGCTGTGCAATTATTTCACATGGTTAAAATTACACAGAAAAGTTTGTTTCCTGATTTTTTCACTTAGAATTAGCCCATGAGAATGTTTCTAGGTTTCTTTTTTCTTCCTTTTGTATTTATAAAATTATAAGTCTACTTAGACTTCATTTGGGGGCATTGATTAAACTGAAAATGCTAAATATTTTTCTGTGTCGCTTTCCAGGCAAATAAATTTTGCCTTCTCCATTAATTCCATTATCATGTCTGTCAATGTTTGTAAACACTCAGATGTGTTTCTGGAATCACGTGTCTTGAAGCACCAAGTACTAAAGAACAGATTGGGTGGACGGGGGCAAAGTGCGGTGCTAGTGGCCGGGACACAGGTGCTCGGAAGGCAGATCTGGAGACGGCTGCCTGGACTGCAGCCCTCGCCCTACACCTGGGGAAAGTCGTCGTCCTCGCCAGCCACCTCCCTTGAGGGCAGGACTGATGACTTGTTAATCGTTCTAATCCTAGTCCCAGCACGCAGTAGGTACTTCAGAAATATTTAACTACCCTATTTTATAAATGCATTTTAGTAAAACTAATCGAGTTGATACCTTCCTTGCTTTTCTGTCACTGGCATTATCGTCAAAAACATTCGGTAAGTGGCTCTCCGTGAGCATCTCTGAGCTGGGTGCTGAGCTGCAGACTCCGTGTTTCACTGTGCTTTGCTCAGTTCCCGGCATTTACTCCTTATGTCCTGTCTCACCTGCCTTTGCCTTGTCCACATAGTCTCCACCTTCGTCACAGCGCCTTAGCCCAGATCTTGTTCATCTTGCAACGAGATTATTACCACCCCCTCCTCCTCTCGCAGTTCCTTCTTCTAGTACATCCCAAAACCCTTCCACCATATGGGGAGAAATGATGGCTTTCATCTCATTGTTAATGAGGACAGAGAACCCACCTTCTGCCTGCGGATCTTTTCCCCAGATCATTTCCCTCCCGACTCCTCTGGTTTACACTGCCGGTGCCCAGAGTTATACTGTGTAACAGCAGCAGCTGCTTAATGCTTTCGGAGGTCATCATTGTGCTAGCTAATGCCGTCATAAAAGATAAACTGTAAAATGTCAGAGACTTAACAGAATGCAAGTTTATTTCTGACTCACATAAAATTCAAAGATGAGACCTGCAGGCAACTCTGCTCCACCAGCGATCCAGAGAGCCTGGGTCCTTCCATCTCGTTGCCGTTGAGTCTTCAGCACACGGACTCCAAGATCGCTGCAGAACGGGAAGAGCTCTTGTAGATCTCACACGGGAAGATCTGTGTGAGCCAGGCCTAGAAGTAGCACATGCGACCTCAGCTCACATCCGTGGGACAGAAGCCTCTCATGCGGCCACACACAACTAGAAAGAGCCAGGGAATGAGCACACCTTTGTGCCCAGGAGGAAGAGGACCTGGGGTTTGCAGTCAGCGAGCTGCCTCTGCCGCGGTGGTCACCAAGAACAGCGCTGTTCCCACCACGCCTTCACGCGCTTACTTGATATTTTTATTCGTGCACTTTTTGCATTAAATTATTTACCTCCTTTCAGTTCTTTGCACCGATTTTCTTCCCATCTCAGGGCCATTATATGCTGTATCTTCTCCCTCGAGTACTGTTCCCCACTTTTTGCCTGGCCAACACTTACCTTTCAGGTCCCAGCTTAAAACTCACTTTCAAACTTGATTACCTAAAAATGGTATCTCATTGTTTGAATCAATATTACTTTTCTAGTTAAACATTTGTTTGCATTTATTACTATTTCTGTTTCTTTGATGAGCTGTCCTTTGCACATTAAAGCTAGAATTTGAGTGTTTTTCTTCTCACTTTCTGTGAATTCCTTATATATCAACAAGAGATGGCATTTGTCATATTTATTGTAAACATTTTTCCTGTTTCTGTATGTTTAGTGTTATTTATTGTATGACATACACACTTTTAATATAAATTTTTTGTCTATTGATTTCTTTAACTGCTTTTATACTTAAAGCATCCTTCCCCACTCTGAGATTAGGTTTACCTATATTATGTTTTAGTTTTTCTTCACTGATACATTACACATTTTCCATAAACTCTCTTTAGGTGTTAATGCTTCCTGGAAATGGCTTCTACGTTGATAGCTCAGCTCCTAGCTCTCACGTGAGAGTGTCCTACTCTTTATCATCTCCAGAGCAGATGGAC